GAATTAAAAAATAAAAAAAATGGCACAAAATTGTAACACCACATCTCCTCCTCATACTTTATACTAGGGGGGAGTGCCCGCGCATCGCGCGGGTGTTTGGTGCCTGTGGGAAAGAATGTTGCTTTGTGAAACAAACAATAATATATTGTGAGAAGAAATAAACATCAAATAATGAGCAGCAGTTACTATTGCAAACCAGAAATAGTCCATAAAGTAGGAGAAGTTGAACAGTAGTAATAGTCCATAAAGGAAAGATGGGAGTGAAGAAAGAGAGTTGTTGCTGTAGGTCTGGCTCCATGGAGTCCCTTATTTAGTCATAGCAATAGTAGTAGACAGCCTTTAAACGAAACTGCGATGGTGTCCTTAATAGCAAGCTTATTAGATTGCAGCCTTTATTATAGTTATGGTGTCCGTAATGGGCAGCCTTAGGTACTCAGTTGCGTTGCTTCTTGGCGGTGCCGTCCTTTTGTTGTGCAGGTGCTGCATCACTGGTTCCTTCACTGGACTTTGTAGAAGATGAGTTGTCCAAATTGGTTGGGAGCATCTCGGCGTTTTTGTCGCCGTCGCTCTTTTTCTTCTTCAGACAACGATGCATATTTAGCCCTTGCTCTCTCATTTCGCCGTCGCTTTTGCTCTTCCAACTTGTTATCTTTACTTAGTGTAGTCATTTTAGACCGCGATAATTATACATCCTAAAGGTTTTCCTGGGGGTGAAACATCTTTTATAATAAAGGTATTAATAATAACAGCAAAAATGTCCGCCATCATATATTATTTAGGAATTCGCTATCCTAGATAACAATCAAGGCACAAGATCACACAGATAAATCATGTTTCTGAATGTTTAAGCATAACAATCAACAGATATGTATCAAGTTCAGTAGTAAATTACATATCTAGCCAAGACATCTAATCTGGCCTATGCCTATCCATTCCCTTCATAGCCTTTACGTTTACTTGGTCTCTAGTTCAGAAATAATTAAGTACATGTTGTCCAGACCAAAGGGTGAGTAGGAAAGTGGACGGTGGGATAGGCTGGATCCTTCAGAGTCAGATTTAGTGGCAGTTAAGTTGGTGTTAACTTTAGCATCTTATGAACAATGTCAACTATACTAATGTCGTCATTTTACTATTTTCATCAGCAAAATTATATTTTCATGGCCATTTTCTAATCATCTACAACTAAAATTAAAATGTTTTTCTCTTACATAAAACAATATAATTAACATATTTGTTATCAAAATTGAATTGTCAAAAACAAAAATCTTATAGCACTAACTCGCATGAGTAGAATTAAGTTGAATGAAAATTTAGTATACTTATTTTCTTGTCAAACTTTGCTTTACGATTTAAGTCATGATTGCTTTGGGTATTTAGGTAATTGAACAATTTAAACTATACTCTCCGGATTATTAATAAATGCTTACTGCCCAATTTTTCTATTTTTCATAAGTTTTGTCCTTATGTATATGTTGTCTTTTTAGCAAATACAAACAGAAATCAAAAGTAATAGAAAAAAAATGAAAGAAAATAAAAAAAGAGCTATTAGCCTTTCCAATTAAATGCTTAATTTTCCCCTTTCTTAGCATAACTATTTCTTTAAGATTCTTTATCTGAGGTCACTTCCAATATTTAAGAAATACAAACAGAAATCAAAAGAAATAGGGAAAAAATGAAAGAAAATAAAAGAGCTATTAGCCTTTCCAATTAAATGCTTAATTTTCCCATTTCTTAGCATAACTATTTATTTAAGATTCCTTATCTGAGGTCACTTCCAATATTTAATTCGTAACTGTGGTTAGTTTTGCAGGGAACCATGGTTATTTTTTGAAAATATCATCAATCATTTTCCATACTATTTTCAAGTTTCTAAAATTTTATATTAAAAAAAATACCATTATCATACACTCATCATTTAAAGATTGATGCTGAGAAAATGAGTATAAACCCAAGTATTAAAAAAATTCCTATTGAAAGATTGATGCTGTAGTCTGTACACACAATGGTGATCATCTCGTCTGTTCCTTGAATAAGGATCTTGACGCTGACTTTTTCTATTAATAACAGTTACTATTTTTGCACAAAAATCTATGCATAATTTGTTGTCCTTTTAAGCAGAGGAAAAGAGAGACGTATAACATTATGGAGGGTTAGTATGAGTTTAAACATTCCGGGAGTGGATTTATGAGTTCCAGAAATGAACTTAACAGACCTTTTAGATCAACTTAAATTACTTTGTCACTTCTTACTCCTTATCTTGATATCTTCGAAATGCAAGGATTAATTTATGGTCTAGAAATTTCATATATTATTAACTTTCGGTATAAATTAACTGTAATTTTGATCATCTGATCTGTTATTTCAGGGCATCCATGCATGCATGGTTGACAGGGGAAGGAGGTGGTGAAATCAGACCCGTGGCTGTTGGAGAAGCTAGACCAGTGGCTGTTATAAGCTGAAACTTCTATATCCCCTGCCCTATGTATAATCTCAAACTGTACAGCCACCTCGTTGGCTAAATTCCTAGCTACCTGTCTACTTATTAGGTCTGCTTTCTTCTATAAATTTTCCAGAAAGCACAGGCTTTATTAGTTTGGAGCTCGAGTTAAAGAGCCGAAGCCTAGATGAGACTTAATAAATCTTTGATCTTTGCAGTGTGAATGTTGAATGATGATCAGAGCTCGTAAAGGATTATCTGAATTTGTTCACAAAAGTTCCTATTGGTTGCTGACTTAATTGTATAAACCTAGTAAAAAGGTTCATATTACTTATGCAGAGGCCAAGAAAAGGCAACCTTGAGGCCAAGTAAAAGGCCTCAATTCTGCATTAACATCAGGAGAGGACGGGTGCAAGTGTGACTGCACAGCAGTGTTGGCTGAATTGGAGATTGCAAGGGTGAGATAAATATGAGGCAGGATGTAAGAAAGGGCAACTTTGAGGCCAATTTAAAGGCTTCAATTCTGCATTAAGATTGGGAGAGGACTGGTGCAGGTGTAACAGCAGAGAAATTGCGGCTGAATTTGGAGATTACAAGAATAAAAGGGAAACTGAAGTAAGGATTGAGATTTCGGAGTTAATTAACAGGTTTAGCAAGCATTCTCTACATATAAACTCTGACGAACTTGCATTTCACAAATTAATGCATGCAAGCCCCATATAGCTTCTTCTCAATATAGATTAAGTTGCCATTAACTGCATAGCAATGTCGGGATTGGAATACAACATAACAATTTGATTCTCATACAATATAAAATAAAATAAGGAACATATTTAGCAGTAAGTAAAGTCAAAACTGCACACCCAAATCAACAATAAACGATATAATCATTGGAGCAAGAAAACTACCCTTTTCAAAACAGCAAGGCAGTTCAACATTAGAACGGTAGCAAATTCAAGGTCGGTGGTAATACTAAAAGGTAGAGGTACGCTGAAAGCTAACCTTAGGCCAAAATCTCCACTGAGAGCTCTTTCTTGCTGTTGCTCCAAACCTATAAGATCATAGCCAACCCAGTCAAATTACAGAGGGCAGCAGTTAGGCAACGCAATAAAAGTTGTTAATTGCAGGTTCTAAGAACACACTCACAAAAATAAGGGTAGAACTGGAAAATTGGGGGGAGGGGTGGAATCTAACCTCAAGCTGAACCACCAGGTATAGCTGTGGCTGAAGAACATTCTGAGCTGCTTACTATGGAGCCACGAAGAAGTAACCCAATCCCGGAATGCGAACAGGGGGTACCTGAGCATCAACCGGCTGGGCATTAACATACCCACGATTCAGAAATTAAATTGGGGTGTAATTAATAAGGGGAAAATAGGGTGATCAATATAATTACAGCAGGATTGGAGAGCATAAGAAATGTGTAAGCCCCATTTGAACTCTCACGCCTCCCCTATCCAATCATTAGCAGCCCTAACAAGCAAGTAAGGCATTTGGGGCGTGAAACGCGGCCACAAGATAGGTAATTTCAGAGTAAAGTGCATACAGCATTAACTCATCTAGCTAACAGAAGTCGAGACTAAGCAATTGAAACCTGGAAGAGGAAACGATGCGGCAGGCCTTTGTAAAGGGACTCGGCGAGAGACTGAAGCTGAACGGGGGGAAACGGACTTACGTGGGGCGCTCGTAAAGGGGATAACAGTTCGGCAGCCATTAACACTCATAACACTCATAACAATTAACACTCAATAACAGCCCGGCAAGGAGTGGAACGTTTCAGACAGCGGAGGATTTCAATGGCGCCTCTTCCCACGGCGAAGCAACGTTTACTTGTCCGTCTAGAGGAATAATTGATTGCTAAGGGTATTCCAGTAATTACACCAACACACAAGCATATATGGGGTGTACAAAGTGCAAAAACAGTTGTACACTCATTATACATTCCATCAATACCCAGATGGCTCATCAATGAGGACTTTAAATGTAATGAAACGGGGTTATTTTAGTAAACATATCCAAATACATGCTTTGTTAAGTTGCACCTAAAGCTTTTAAGCTAATACACAACATTTACTATTCCCAAAATAACCCCATCCTTGCGGTTGAAATCTTTGCCCTTAACTCATTCTTATATAGTATAAGGATATATATAGAGAGAGAGAGATGTCTTTTAAGCTTACAAACAACATTTACCCAAAAAAAAAAAATCATCTAATACTTTTAAACTTTTTCTTTGGTATGGCTCGACGACGGTGGGTTTTTTTCCTTTACCTTCCTCTATATAAATTTTTTTTTTTTGGTAGTTTGATCAGTTCCGTACTGATCGGTAATATGGGAAATCTCTATTTTTTTTTTTAATTCTAATCATGCAGTAAAGAAATCTTTTTAAGAAAATAAAACCCAAAATTTCCCAACCGACTTTACCAAGCGAAACGAGACTAGAAAGATATTCACATACGACCGAAAGCGCCCTTGCTCTGGGCTTCGGCCCACTAACAGGCCGAAGTTGTATTTAAAGCCTAAAAAAAATGTTCTAAAACTATAAAACGGCCCATTGTACGAATTCCAACCATCTGCTCTTTCTCACTCATCTAAACCCTACAATTGCCTAACACCGCTCCGACTTCCATCTCTCCGCGGAGCTCTCCCTCCAAACCCAATATTTGTCGCTCCAAAACAGACCGGAGATCAAACAATGGCATCGGGCGGCCAAACAATTTTGCAATTTCCCCAAGCATCGACCAATTTAACGGCAAGGATTCATCCATTAGTCATCTTTAACATCTGCGACTGCTTTGTCAGGCGACCCGACCAAGCCGAGCGAGTCATTGGTACTCTTCTCGGCTCCGTCTTGCCTGACGGCACTGTCGATATTCGCAACTCGTATGCCGTTCCCCATAACGAGTCATCAGATCAGGTTTTCTTTCGCCTCTCGATTAATTTTGCTGTCCTTATTTTTCGTTCAGATTTTTCCTCTATTTAGATAAAATGACTTGAAGGAGCTGATTTGAGTAATTTCGGACATTTGTTGTGGTTTTAGGTTGCATTAGATATTGATTACCACCATAATATGCTTGCGTCTCAGCAGAAGGTGAATCCCAAGGAAGTTATTGTTGGATGGTAACTTCAGGAAACTCTTTTCTTTCGTCCCTTTTATTTCCCCTTAGTTGAATGGTGACAAAAAAGGTCGGGTCGTCAACTAGGAAGTTAGGGAATAAAAATTGTGGCAAAACATGTTTTCAATGTATATTATTTGCTTTAGAAATTCTTATCCTGCCTGCCTGTATTTTCAAAACATTGCCTGTGCGTGGTGCAGGGGGTCTTTTATCACGGAGTCTGGATTTCTTAATCAGGATTACTAGTAATTGATACCAACTTAAATGATCTACTGTGTTATTTTCCTTGTTGGATTGGACAGTTTATCACAGTGTGATATTTGATGCGCATATGATGTGGCCATGCAGCTTCGTTCATTGGTATATACAGTCTAACTTCTGGAAGCATCTTTTCCCTCTTTTTTGATGGTGGCTTCTTTGGACCTCTTAGTTGTTTTGTTGGATAATGAGAATTCTCTGCTAATAAATGACACTCTATAAACTTCGTTAAATATGGAGAGGAATAACTACCAGTAGGAGCTTTTGCTTCTTGCTCAGACTTGGCCCTTCTCTCACTTATTCTAGGCTTGCTTTCAAGTGATCGACTGAAAAGATGAACTTCAGATTGGAATGCCTTTTAAAGGTAGTAGAAGTAGGTTGTTACAGATCCTCACAAAATAAATGCCAATACAAATTGTAACAAACGTAACTTATTGTAAATTTTTCTCTTCTTTTCTGGAAACGAGATTATTCTTTTACATTGTCTCTCCTTACCTATGATTTTATTTCCTTTTTTTTTTTGGGAATTCTTCATTTGCTGTGGCTAATCAAATACAATTTCAAGTATTTTACCACTTCTGCATGGAAGGTGGCCTTTGTATGTTGTATTTGTTGGATAAACCGTAAATGAAACCATCATTAGATGTGCTTTTCAAAATACTGATTTGGTGAATGGTTTGTTCTTTGAGGTTGAATGGTAAATTCTGCGATAGGTACTCTGCAACTCGATATATGCAATGTGTTATCTGTAGATACTAATGGTAGTTTCTAAAGTGAATTAAGATGTATTACTTCCATGCCTGTTGACAGGTTTTCAACTGGGTCCGGAGTCACAGGTGGCAGTGCTTTGATTCATGAGTTCTACTCAAGAGAAGTTCCAAATCCTGTTCATTTAACTGTTGATACAGGATTCACCAATGCAGGGGCTTCAATTAAAGCTTTTGTCTCTGTTAATTTGTTTCTTGGAGATCAACAACTTGCTGCACAATTTCAAGAGATTCCTTTGGACCTACGAATGGTAGAAGCAGAGCGGGTTGGATGTAAGCCATCTGCGTCAATATCCTTGCTCTTACATTGTGTGCTTACCTGCTATACTTAAGTGGACTAAGGGAAGTGAGGCTTGGGTTTTACCTTGGGGGTGCAAAGATTAATTTTGCTTTGTGTGGAGAAAGCATTAGGCTGCCCTTGTTAGCATCTCATCTAGTTAGCAAATCCATGGAGCTGCATTCCATTCCCCTGTTGGAAATTTATGCTATTTTATGTTAGTGGGATTTGATCTACATTGAACCCATTATATTCCCTCAGTCCTCCCTTTAGTGATCTTCTAGCATATGGATGCTGATATGGTTGGTTAGTTACCGCTGGTGATTTCTTGATGGCAGGGAATTTTGTTTATGAATGGCTTAGGTCTTTAATGGGTGTTCAAACAACAGGGTTATTGACTATTTGTCTCACTTGTTACTTTTCCTAAAAGTCAAGCCTTTAAAGAAATTACTATAAACTGGAAGAATAGAGATGATCAGATTAGCTTTTGCATATGGAACCATTTGTTTACTCCTAAGGATCCAGTCAAATAAAAATTGAAGAGGGAAATAATAAGAAAAGAGGGGGAAAAAGGACAACTAAAAAACTTGGGCCAACTGTTTCTTTGGATTGACCTATTAGTTTTGGACCTGGCTTGTTTGGACAGATTAGCAGAGTCTAGTCTGATAAGTTTGAGGCATGGAAGAGTGGATGACGGGATTAGCGAATTAGAGCCTAGGATGGGTAAATTGGAGAGATAATAAGATAATTGTTCCCTTCTTTCAGATGCTGCATACTTGTAGATCCTAATGGTTTCCCTGGTGTAATTCTCTTTCTAATGACTGGGTCTTGTAATAAGAATTGCTTGCAGAGCTTAATTTTTACAGTAGATTTATTTGTTTTATCACTATAAAGACAATTTTGACTTGGAAGTTCTTGTAATGATTGTAGTTGATATTCTCAAGACAACAATGGTTGACAAACTCCCTGGTGATGTGGAAGGAATGGAAGCCACGATGGAACGATTACTTGCTCTAATAGATGATGTTTACAAATATGTTGACGATGTGGTGGTAAGATAATGGTACTATATACCGGATTTGCAAGGGCACTTCCCATGGATTCTCTCTAAACCTCTTCTGAATCTTCATTTCAGGAAGGGCGCGTTGCACCAGATAATAACATTGGAAGATTTATATCAGATTCTGTATCCTCCATGCCAAAACTTTCATCCCAAGCTTTTGATAAGCTTGTAAATGACAGTCTTCAGGTAGCCATCATGTTTTTGCTATGTTCCTTCCTTCTGGCGCCTAAGATAAAGGAGTCGTATAGCTCTGTGTCTCTGTTTTGTCATAAATATGCGCAAGTGCATATTTGGCCTTTGTGTCTGTGTTTATGTTTGTTGAGGTACCTATTATGTGCATGTGTGTGTCTTGTGTATGTTGATGCATTTGCCTTATGGCGTATTGGGCCTCTTGTCTTTCACTTGTATATGATGATCTTCTTGTCGCTGTTGGGATCTTAAATGGCCCTTTAGTTAGCGAGGCACTGAACTATTTTGCCCCTGAAAATTTTGAGATACTTCCGTATTTATTAAAGTTAACCTAGACCTGAAATATGTTTTTTGTTGTTTAACTGGTGGTATTCTTTGTATTTATTTTTATCGTTCCTTGGTTCTGATTGTCGTTGATTGCTAGAAATTACATGCTTTTGTGCTGTGCTGTTATGATCATGAAGGTGAACAACATGTATTTATCTCTCCTGACCACAATTTTTTGTTACTTTCACATAGGATCAATTACTCTTGCTATATTTGTCAAGCATCACAAGAACGCAACTTAGCTTAGCCGAAAAGCTGAACACAGCTGCTCAGATCTTGTAATTGTACTAATAAAGTTGTCAACTGGCTCGGAATCGTCTCAACTTTTTCATTGATACTTTTGTATGGCCAGCTCTTTGGGGATGTGGTCATCTTTTTGAAGAATATGTATTGTTCTATATCATATTCATGATTTCCGTTGTTTTTGGTGGCGGCAGTCTGTTTTCTCCCATTTCTGTACGTCCCACATTTTTTTCAGGTTAAAGGCCTGAGGCATACTGTAGAAATAGTTGCGGAACTTACAAGGTTGACGACTTTTTTTCACTTTTTGGGTGCCTACACGTTCAAAGTCTGTGCCTAGTTAGATAATACGGTGGTCGGCTTAATTTTAGGTATAGGTCAGATGAAATTGCTTCTAATATTTGTGAAAGTAAGAAATATGAAACCAACGGTCCCTTGCTTTTAGCCATAGCAAAAACCTTCCTTTGGACCGTATAAGTTCAAGTTTGGCTCGTTGGTTTTATTAAATAAGTCGAACTCAAGCATCAGATTGGGCTTTTTTCTAAACGAGCTTGGCTGGGCTGGCGTGTGAATAGTTCTTTAAAGGTCATTAAGACTTATTTATGCATTTATTCAAGCTTGTCTTACTAATTGTGGAGGTTTATTTTGTTTTGATTGTTTAGGATTTTATTTTATTTAAATATTGGAAATCTTTTTTTTATTTGGTGAAATTTTTCTCGTTTAATACGCAAATTAAATTAGTTAGACTTTTTGAATTGCAAAATTATATAAGATATACAAATATATTTGCGGTTTAATTTCCATCGATTTCCTTTGATTCAATTGGATCCTTCCTTAGACAAGTCGGTGTAGGAGTAAGAATAGAATTAGTGCAGAAACATGAGTAGCATAGGAATGTGCCCATTGACACAAGACAAAAAAGGGTCAGTGGAGTAAGAATGGAATTAGTGCAGAAATGCCCATCTGATTCATATGAAATTTGAAATTTTGTATATGGGCGGGGATAGTGAGTTGTATGATTTAGAACGCCCATCTGATTCATGTTGCTTTTACCCTATATGTTTCGCTTAAAATAGTGATTCGGTGTCTTTGTGGTGTTTGGTACTAGTTGTTAGGCTCTCATTTTGTAAGAGTGGTTCACCCTGAGTGGAAAGGTTGCACGATCTTCCTGTACTTCCTTCGCGAGGGAAAAGATGCACTTCTAATCCTCAAAGGTTGGGGGTCGGCCAAAATTGGTCCTCAGTTTTTTCGCCAAAATAAAGTTAGTCCTAAAATATTTAACTTTGAGAAAATCAGTCTTTAATGCTTTGATCTAAACAAATATAGTTTCTAAAGTATATTATTGACAAAACTGGTTCTTAATTCTTTGTGAAATCTAACAACATTTATTAACCTAATATAAAAATGCTTGAAATTTCTATAGAAATTATTGGAAAACTCTAAAAAAATAAAAAAAAAAAGTCTAAAAAATAAGGGTAAATATAAAAAAAAATCCCTGTGATAAACCTAATACACAGAAAAGTTCCCTGTAGTTTCAAAATATATAACACGACACCCAGTATTTTGAACTAAATTGTAAAGGTGACGGAATCCGTTAAACTTAACGGAAATGACTTATTGGAACCTAAAAAAAATTTATACCTAATTTTTAACAAATATACCTATTCTACCCCTTAACCCTCAATTCTCTCTATCTAGAGAATAAAACAAATGATTTTTTGAGTTGTCTTTTGTTTAATTATATAAGGGCATTTTGGTCATTTCGTCCATTTCCGTTAAATTTAACGGATTCCGTCACGTTTACAATTTAGTTCAAAGTACGGGGTATCGTGTTGTATATTTTGAAATTACGGAAGGCTTTTCTGTATATTAGGTTTATCACATGGGATTTTTTTGTTTTTTATCCAAAAAATAATAAAATAAGTACACGATATTCACTTTTGACGAAATGATGCTAACTGGTAGATATGCTAATTTGTAACTTTTACATAAAGATATACAAAACAATAGGTACAAATTATAATGTTTAATTTGTTTTATTAAAAGTACAAAAAATAAATAAATTCAGCAAGTGCAGAATACATGCTTTTATTCCAGTGGTAAATTCAACTTTTTATGCTTCCGTAACTTATTTATTATACTCATAAATTTTCTCAGATCCTACAAAATATTAGCCACCAGTTTGGTCAATCAATACGCTTTAAAGACTATATTACTAAGATCAAAACAATAAGACCTAATTCGATCGAAATTGAATACTCAAAAGACTACAATTTTTTTGACCGAAATATTGAAAACCAACTTAGTACAAGTCAAATTTTGAAGGCTAAAATTGCATTCTTCCCTCCTTCGCAAAGTCTGGTGCCGCAACTCTCAAGTCGGGAGGACCACAAAACATGCATGATTATAAGGACTTTTTTCTTTTGTTTGTGAGATGCAAAGAAAAAAAAAAAAAAAAAAAAAAGAGGGAGCAAAGGACAGGAGAAGTTAAACTGGTTGGTTGACCTAATTAAGTTGCTTTCAGCCCGCCTGAGAACGGGCGTTACAAGGATTTGATTAGAACCAACATGCTCTGCTATCTTGAAACGAGCCAATAGCATTAAGCCACGAGCATATGGTCGGGACTGAAGTATGATGGTTGGAAAGTGGTTAGTGTGTTGAAACTTTTGATCGGAGTTCAAGCAATTTCCAATGCCAAAAGGTAAAGGAAATGGAAGAAACCTAAAAAGTGTACGTTGCTGCTGTCGTCGCATGAGGGCATGAGGCAGAAAGGTTATTAATGAAGTAGAACCTGCTTCCTCCGTAGCTCTCCGGACCTATGATTGGGGGCTTCTTGCAAGTTACAAGAGGTTTTTCTCCGCCTTGTAATAATGGTGTCGCGAAAATGGGTGTTGGTAGAGCTTCCATCACCGAGTCCAGACAAAGATAGTGGAGACAAGAAAGAAAATGACGGAAATTAGGGCGGCCTAGATTTCACGCGTGCCCCTTCGTTATTTTAATACACTTCCCTCCTATGCTTCGCATTTGCATGGATCAATTCATTTTAACCAGTAGGTATGCACCTGCACTCTACACTATTAACTGGCAATGGCGGACCTGCTCGAATCTCACTGAAAAACATATATTTTCCTTGATTTTGTGAGCCGTAAAGAAATGAGTTGCGCCCCCAAAACGGCAAAACCTTCAAAGAAGGCCCTCTTTTTTTCTTTCTTTTGAGTTGGGATGAAAGATAAGTGTGGCCGTACCTATTTGGAGGATTGATGAGGACAGGTGAATCGGACGTTTGGTGCTTTTTCCCATCTCAGCTTTCTATCTTTCCTATGACTATCCCAATATAAAATGACATTGTTACTATTAAGCGAGGTTACTATTGTTTCAATTCCATAATCGTGTTTTGGTTGTGTACTTCCATCCCGCGATGGGATGGATTAAAACAAGGTGTATGTATGTATGATGCTTTTAAGATGTAGTGAAATTCCTGGGAGTTAGAACGCAGAATGGTGCAGTGCCAAGCACCAAGAGACAAATAAATTCGTACTACTTAACTATGGGTTGGAGTTCAAACATTCTCGAGAATTGCGGAAAGCACGCACATCCAGTTGACCGTTTACTGTCTCGATTTCTATATAATCAACACAAGATGTCCAGATAAGAATGGCTGAGAACATTAAATAAACGACAAGTTGGTGGTATAGATTGCGGACCTAAAAATGGGGATTTTTTTTTTGTGGTTGCCTCTGATTTTATGAGCATAATGCACCATTTTCATGAATTCATCTGCTACTTTAGTGTTTATTGAATATGGCGATTTTATCTCTTCAAAAGTGAAGCTTTGCAACATAGTAGGGGGTTGGTTAATGGCCAATATGGCCATTCATTCAAACACTACTATCTCTTTCCACTTAGAGCAAATATTTGACAATAACCTAGCAATATTCCATGCCAAAGTTCAATCTTGCAGTGCCGAGGCTTTATGACTGCTTTAATTTGGAACCCAGAGACTGATCGAGGTTGAAAATTGAAATTTTACGGCAGCGATATAAATATGAATGCTTTCCATGATTGACTCCTCGACAATATAAATATGAATGCGAAAGAATAAACAGCACTTGAAATAATACAATTCCTAACAAACAAACTAAGCTAACCTAATTTGTACTGGATTTGCAACAACAGAAATCGCAATGAGTTTCGCAAGTTCGTTGATTCACTGAGTAAAAGAAACTGGTAACCTATAAGACAGGAGCCAGAAGACATAGGAAAAGCCAATTCGGTTCCCTTCTTAAATTCCAGTCGGTCAATATGTGTAGTCCCTCTCAAATTTCAATTTTTGTTGCTTTATGTCCTCTGATCCTTCCCACACAGCTCTAAAAAGAAGGTCTACTACACATACATATCCAAACAATTTTTGACTGAACTTTCGCATGGTCAGCACAACTCAGTACCCATGTCAGTGATCAAAAGCATCCAACTAGGATCAGACAATGTGAACTTTGACTTTCACCACCATCAACCTTCTCTGCCAGTATGATCTTTAGCATAGCAATAGAATAGTTTAAGAATTAAACTTGGATTATTTGCATGTCCTTGTGGGTTTGTCCTATTGGATTAGCTAACTAAACACTAACCACGAGCAACAAAAGGGCAGTGCATAAATCCCAAGAAGTAACTCGGTTTGTGGAGGGTTTTGGTGTGTAAGTTCCTATGCGCAATATTTCATTTGTTCAATTAATCTTTCTCATACGTTATATTTTTTTGGAGTAACTTCTTTCTTATAAGTAACTCACTGATTTCAAAAGAAATGCAAGAAAAAGATGGGTTATCTGAAAGTTCTGTTGTTAATGTTTTCTTTCAGGATTTAAGGTAGTTGAGTACAACAATAATAATAAATAAGAAGACAAAGAAATCATCTTTGCAATAAGTTCACATTGAAGTGATAGTAAGTACTCCCTCCCCTTTTTTATAACTGACGTTTAAGAAATTTGCTTTAGTGTACTTTTATCTGTCGTTTTATTATCCCCATACAGTATTAATTATTTTTTCACAATTTTACCCTTTTATCTCTCTTTTCCAATACAGGATTCTTAATTACTACTTCTAGTAATTATTGCTTCTCTCTTTGTAATAACCCTATTAATTAATGAGGGTACAAAAGGAGAGTAGTGTACAGATTTAAGTACTCCCTCCCCTTTTTTATAACTGACGTTTAAGAAATTTGCTTTAATGTACTTTTATCTGTCGTTTTATTATCCCCATACAGTATTAATTATTTTTTCACAATTTTACTCTTTTATCTCTTTTTTCCAATACAGGGTTTTTAATTACTACTCCTAGTAATTATTGCTTCTCTCTTTGTAACAATTCTAGTAATTAATGAGGGTACAAAAGGAAAGTAGTGTATATATTTAAGTAATGAAAAACTTTTCTTAATTGATGTGTAAAATCTTAAACGTCAGTTATAAAAAAAAGGGAGGGAGTATTGAACACTTGAATTATCTACCTAAGCATATCCGGAACTCGCATTGCAATTATATGCCCAATTGTTAGTGTCCCGATAATTCAATGCAAACTTTGAGGACTCGCCTCCCTGTCTGCTCGCGGACCAAAATTTTGAATGGTGGCAGCTTTTAAGCATGTCTATCTCCCTCCGCACAAAAAACTAGACAAAAACAATTCCATCAAATCCTCAAAGTCCTATCTCGTATTTCCCTAAAATCAAAGCAGTGTGGCCTAAAAAAAGGTTCATTCTGCTCTGTACTTTAGATGCCAAATTGAATAAAACGAAAAGAAATTGTGACAATAAAAAACAAATATACATAAACATGTCTTTGCCAACTTTGCCACTAGTGGTATATAATATGCACACGAGCCCACTGCTTCTTTTGAGTGTAGAAGCTACCGATCACAAGTAAAAGTAGCTCACTAAGAAAGATCAGAGTTCCAGAAGCTAAGTTGGAAAAAGTTTTACCGAGTGAAATGGATGAGGGCTTTTGTATTAAGCCACGAGGCGGTGGCTATGTTGGTGGCGGTGGGACTAAGTGTGGGCGGTGGAATCCAACCTCAGAACAAGTGAAAGTTCTTACTGACCTCTTTAGGTCTGGCCTCCGAACCCCTAGCACCGACCAGATCCAAAAGATATCGTCCCAGTTAAGCTTCTATGGTAAGATCGAGAGCAAGAATGTCTTCTACTGGTTTCAAAACCACAAGGCTAGAGAAAGACAGAAGCGTCGCAGAGTTTCAATTGATGAACAAAAAGAAAATCACTATCAAGGAAAGAATTCTTCTTCTATAACACGTAAGTCACTCGTATTCATGCACAGCATTTCTTGGAATTTATTTCTTTGCACTTGTGTTCATTGGAAAAAAATATTGTGGAGGACCTATATGCATAATATTTATTTTTCTACATACATGTATATTTTTGGACAGATTTTGCGGAGATAAATCAGATTTCAGAGCCTGAGAGGGTGATAGAGACTTTGCAGTTGTTTCCGTTGAACTCATTCGGTACTGAATCAGAGGCAGAGAAGCAGCTGAGATTCTTCGCAAACGACTGCAAAGGGACTGCGTCGTTTTCGTACGGGATGGGAGCAGAGATGGACCATCCAACCCTGGATCTTCGTTTAAGCTAGCTCCTTGTAAAGAAATCTCCTAATTAATTATCTCCAGCTGGGACTTCTGTCACGGTTTAACCACATGTTTAGCTAGCTAGGTTCTGGATGAATATTGTAACATGGCATTTGGAGAAGGCAAGGTTAAGTAGCACGCATGCATATGAAATTTGTTGCAGGACGGAAACAAGAAAATTGTGTGGCTTGAAAGTTTTATGTTACTGTATTTAATTTATAGCTGTAAAATGCCTGCACGTAGCTCTAGATAATTGATCACTAGGTCGGAGCTTGGAAAATTCAAAAATGCTTCGACATTCTCCTTTGCATGCAACTTTTGGTTTTTTATTTTCTTTTACTCCCGGGGTTACTCTGCCGGATATATGAATCTTTATTTTATTTCCACATGCACGTATGTGAATGCATGGAAAATGGGACTTGGCCGCTTATTCTCCCAAGATTGTCAGCTGCAAGAGAAAAAACAAACAAAGAGTATGCCATGCCAGGAACTAGAGATCAGTCAAACTGACGCCTTCAGTCGATGATCACTGACTTTCCTTTTCTTCTTTTAGAATCAGAGGCATCAAGAAAGGATATTTCATCTTAGGTTGTTTCAACGGCATAAATAAAATAGACTAGAGTATACCCATAACTTCTCCTTCAAGTTAATTCTGATTAATCTGTTTCTCTTCCTCCCACTCCGAATATTAATGCTCGTTTCTCTTGAATGCATTTTCAATGTCTGCATTTCGTGTAAGTGGTAATATTAAGAGCAGTGGACAATAATGAAAACAAATGCACGGGAATCGCGGAAACGCAGCCGAAAATTTCACCAAGCATACACGACGGTAGTCAGTGAATATGATAATTCCCATTATCAAGATGACATTACCTCCTGGAAGTTATCATCTTTCCTTGTACGATTGTAATCTTTTTGGACTCTGGAAATGTTCACATTTTAGTATGCCCACGTTCTTTTCTTCCTTTCGTGTCCATGAATTATCTCGTCTGCATTTTTTCTTTTTTTTTTTTAATAGTCACTTTTTAATCTATATATTCTACACTACTATTTTAATCTAAAAGGAAACTGGGTGCAGGAGATGATGGAAACTGAACCACTACCGGTCCGACCAGATTGGTCGGTAGTGCACCCGTCTGGAAAATGTACACTATCCTACATTATCGCGTCTGCATTTGCAGTGCCGGAAAGAGGAATCGGTGACCAGATTTGCAGACTGGCTTATTCAACAGTCATATTTTTCCACAGTCGAATATGTTTCCATGTAGAATTTTTACGATTGCATGAATTAGTTCTTCTTGCACATGAAGCTTCTTGGCCGCTCCACACAATCTAACTTGGAAATTTTTGCGAGCCAGGTACGTTTATTTGCTTGCTAGCTAGGTATATATTATTGGTCCTACTGTGCATCTTTGGAAATTTGTTATGCATTTTTTTGGGGCTAGCTACTAATGTGAACCACATCAAATATATTGTAGAGTCTATACTATACTATATATAAAGGAGGAAGGAACCTTTTTCTGTAGATTAAAATTTATCCCTCTATGATTTTTTTAAATTAATTTACTATATTGGGCCGTGCTTCAAGTATTCAACACTCACCATGGCTCCGATCCCGCTCTCGTCCCCAGGAATGTTCCCATGCGGCTCACATCATTTGGGCTAACCCAACCCATCGTTGGCCCTAAAATCTCTGGCACCTGTGTTACTTTAATGGGTCCTGACATATAATTGGTCCAACTAATTCACAAGACTCTCAGGAAGCTCCTCAAACTGGCCCTTTTTCGGGAAAGACACAAGAACCAACAGCTTCACAGGAGATACTACCAATCAAAAGGAGGCCTAACCCATCACTTTATCTTTGTAAGGCCCGCCTTCTCTATAGACCTACAATAGATCCGGCCCACGTTGAAGTTGAAAAATTGAAGACAGCGTGAATTGTGAACAAAGAAAAGAACAAGAAAAAGTGCAAAACAAAAGCGTAGGTCTATTTTTTTTTTTTTTCCCTGTTGGCCGTTTGCCTCCTCCTTCAAGAAACTCTCATTATATTATATACCGGGAACTCCTCCTCCAGTAGGCAGACTAGTTTCTGTTGGGATTTGAAATTAATCTGACAATTTTCGCAATTGAAAATTTGGTTTAGTAATAGTAGTAACAGGTATTTTTCTTGGCTGAGAAAGAGCGAAAAGCGAGAAAGAAAAGAAAAGAGAATGGATGTGATAAAATCGCAGCAGATATCAGCACGGCCGATCGAGAAAGTGGTAGTGCATCCACTGGTGCTGCTTAGCATAGTGGATCATTACAACAGAGTGGCTCGGGACACCAAGAAACGAGTCGTTGGGGTTTTGCTCGGCACTTCTTTCAGGGGCACCGTTGACGTCACCAATTCCTATGCAGGTTCCAGATCTGATAATTTTCTCTTTTTCTTTTTTACCCATTTAAAGTTTCGAATTTGACCAGCTTTTGTTCAATTTATTTTGTTTTATTGGGAAGTTAATGATATATTGGAAGAAAGGAAGTCGCTGAGGTGTAGGATGAGGTAACATTGGCTTTTGAAATTTAGGTTTAAGGCATTATTTTTTTTATTATTTATGGGCAAAGAAGGAGATTGTTGAGGGGCAATTGCAGATAATAATTTTGAAGAAATGGTACTTTTTGTGGGTTTATTGAAGGGTTTAAGCTTCGATGAATTACAAATAACGACCTATGCTGCAAAAATAATAATAATAATAATAATAATTGTTGAATCTAAAGAGCGTTGGGCTAGACAATTATGCTGCCCTTTCATTTCTTCTGCTATTTAGTGGTGGCAATTATATTTGGTAGATGTAATATAGTGGAGTTTTTTCTTTGAGCTTTGTTTCCGATTGGCTTAAAGCTCGGTGACTGTAGTATGTAGCTTCTCAGTGCTTCAGCTTAATTGGGTGCTGTTACTGTTAGTTTACTCTGAACGTTTATACTTCTTCAATTTCCCCCCCCGGTTGATTAAGCTTCATTGCTTTGGAAAGAGCGAAAATACAGGATTCTTCATTTTTTTTAATGGCCGCTGGCATATGAGTACTGACTTCGACAATGGCTGTAGGGGACATTGGAACATTTGTTATCTATGCATAAGAGCAGCAAAACAAATAAGGTTTTGGTACCTTGTTAGCTGTGGAGTTAGGGCTTATGACTTCTTTGGCTTTACTAGACATTGCTGAGAGACTTGTTAGTGTGGTAAATGTAAGCATGGAAATAGCTGTTAAGTGTGTCTTAAGAGTATAAGACATCATTCTCCGTCCAGCAATTGGAGAAGGATTTTGCAGTTGGCTTGTGAAATTCTCCAAAAAATATACTCAAGAAACATGTCCTATGATCAGAATTTGCACTAGCAATTGTGGAATCTTACTGTCAATGTGTTTTTGATTGGACACAATTGCTTCAATATAAGCACCTATGGGAACTTTGTTTCTCATTCAAACTTGAAACCAGCAATAGGAATTCTCCTGTTCAAATCATCCTCTTTGGTTTTTCAAGTTGGAGTGGGTCTGGTGATTTTGAATCTTTAACAGTCAGAACCTAAGTCCCATTATCACAGTTGCTGTTGATTCTTGATGATTTCCCTTATGGTGTAGCTGAAATCTTTGTCTGAAATGTGCAGTTCCTTTTGAAGAAGAAGACAAGGATCCCAGCATTTCGTTCCTTGACCATAATTATCATGAATCAATGTTTTCCATGTTTCGGAGAATTAATGGTATTGACCTTATTCTTTTGTGCACATAGTTTCTTATTTGCTGTTTGTTTGGGTCTAGCATACATTTTCCACTCTCTAAGTTTTGAGTGACGCATATTTGTTTTTCAGCCAAGGAGCATGTTGTTGGCTGGTACAGTACTGGTCCAAAACTACGGGAAAATGACCTGAATATTCATGGGATTTTCAATGCGTAAGATCATCTTTATTCTATGTACATTTGTTGCCCTGAAATGGTAGAATGTTTTCTATGTTTAAGACTTACCATCAAACATCGTTGTCCTGTTGTCCACTCTCCTTCTGGTATAGTGATTGATGATTTACTGTTCAATTATATCTGTCGTGACTTTGTCACTCATCTTTGTCATGTTTGATCTGGCATAGCCACCCTGCCAAACCTGCATCTTATATCTGTCGTGACTTTGTCACTCATCTTTGTCATGTTTGATCTGGCATAGCCACCCTGCCAAACCTGGATCATGAGTTCTATGTGAACTTTACGTGGTATGTTATTTTCTCACAGTAGTTGTTGGCTAAGTGTTTGTCACCTGCTCTCACTTGAACTGTCACATCTGCTTTTGTCCCCAAGATGCATCAAAGTTAGATTGGTAGAGGTTCTATTCTTAACTTCTTTTCTAGGTTAGTGTGCCTGTAAGCATATTAAAAGTCCATGCCGTCTACTTCTGATGTGCTGTCCTTTGCACTGCAGCTATGTTCCAACCCCTGTCCTAGTCATAATTGATGTCCAGCCCAAGGAACTGGGAATACCTACTAAAGCCTACTATGCTGTTGAGGAGGTTAAAGAGGTAGGTCCTTTCTGTTGTTGTTTAGTGTTGGAGTTCTATTGTTGCCGAATTGACTAAAATAACTTGTAGTCTGGACCCTTATCCCTGCCAATTAGGGTAAGCATAATGGTTATTTAAGTATGAACTGAACAAAAATGAGATTTTGTTATTCTTCATTGTTCAACTGTTGTTGGGTATGTTTGCAGAATGCAACCCAGAAAAGTCAGAAGGTGTTTGTCCATGTGCCTTCTGAAATTGCTGCTCATGAAGTTGAAGAAATCGGTAAGCTTGATATACTTGGGATCTTGTTTCCATTTTTCCCCCTTTATCAGCTAGGGTCTAACATTTCTGCATTTACCTCTCATCTTGCCTGTGAGCAGGAGTTGAACACTTGCTTAGGGATGTTAAGGACACAACAATTAGTACCCTTGCAACTGAGGTTCTTGGCATTCTGATTTTATTACATGCGATACTTACGAGAATACTGGAATTCTAATTCCTTTAGAATCATTTTAGAAGATAATAATGGTCATCTTTTTGTCTATCTAGGTGTCAGGTAAACTCACTGCATTAAAGGGATTGGATGCACGACTTCAAGAGATTCGCAGCTATCTTGACAATGTTATTGATGAGAAATTACCTTTAAACCATGAGATTCTCTATCATTTGCAGGTTGGATGATTGATAACCTTCAGTTGAGTTTCGTTATATAGGACAGTGTGTGTGGTGGCTTTCCAATAGACTAAACCTCATCAAGTGTAGAATTTAGCAATTTAAACATCTCATGCATATTAGTTTCAATTATCTCTTTCGACAGTCAGGTAGTACTCCCTTGGATGAAATTCTTTAACCAAATGTAGCATCTTTGTGTTTGTTCAAGCAAACATTAACCACAATGCCTTGTTCTACATTGTTATGCTAAATTTTAAAGCTAAGTTGAGATGCATGGATCTACAACTTTGCGTTAGCATAGGGGTTGCAGATAGATGATTGGAATGCAGAAATTTTCTCTTATGATTAATTAATTTCCTTTTTAATACCTTTTTTCCTAGTGATGTGGTTTAGCAAGTCCATTGACCAAGGTATTAAAGCCTAGCTCTTGTAACTTGGGATCTCAATTCAGTTCCCAAGAAGGGTGGGGGTTAATTTACTAGTCATATCTATCAATTATTGAGTGCGGTGATCCATTTATTGGATTTGGGATTGGTTCATTTATGTCTATGCATTTGAAAATATGCTTTGAAATCCAGCTAGACGAAGAGCTGAATGAATCGTTGTTAGTTGCCTCTTCTAGATCCTTTGTCTAATGCTCTCAGTCCTTCTCATAGGATGTGTTCAACCTACTTCCGAATCTCAATGTGGCTGAGTTAATAAAAGCATTTGCAGGTAAATTTGGCATCCTTCATACTGAATTTGCTTTATACTTTTGAGACATTTACTTTTATGGAACCCCACCCCCAGAATCCAAAGGAAAAATTGAGTATTGGTTGATGTTGTTCCTTTCTTTTGCAGTAAAAACAAATGATATGATGCTGGTTATATACCTTTCTTCCCTTATAAGAAGCGTAATTGCTCTACATAACTTGATCAACAACAAGGTAAGATGCCATTTTCTTTGTGTTATTGCCTGCTTGATCAGTGTTGTTGTACTTGATCACGTTGGGACATTAACACGTCACTAGAACTTGTAGCGTGAACATTTAAGGGCCCTTCTTTACAAGTTGTCCTTGAGGTCATTATTCATTCCTTAATTTTATGCTTTCTGATGTCGCTGACTTGGGTGTCCCTTGCGTTTTTGCAGATGCTTAACAAGGAGCACGAAAAGGCTGAAGACTCTAAGCCAGTTGCTGTACCAACAGCAGCTGGAAGCTAAGCACGGAAGTTTGTGTGTCGATAGATTGCTGGTGCAACTTCGAAGTCCTCTTTGGTGATGGGAACTTGGGCATATATTCCGATGTTGCCCTTTCGAATCGTTAGCAAAAAAGTGCTTTCATTTTTGTGTCACCTCATGACTATCGTTTGGAATGGTGTTTTACACCTTTTGTGCGGAAAGTTGCATATCTTTGGTTACTCAGATAACGGATGAGGATGTTCAACAGCTAGCGAATCTCGCATTGATGTGTACTACTATTAACCGAAATACCGATCATACTTAGTCATTTGTCTGCAGTTATTCGAGACTTGGAGCAAACGACTTCGTCAAAGTTATCAGATCGCCCCTTTGGTTTGTGTTGTTTTTTGCTGATTTTGTGCCCGTAATCCCTGATTTCGCAAAATTGACGTGTGTCTTGTGCCAAATGCAAGCTTGGAGTTTTCTAAACTTCTAAGTCGCTAGAATCACCGCCTTTCCCGTCCTTGGAGAAATTTGAGATCCATGGACATGTGTTAGTTTTATCGCGGACCGGACTAACAATTTGGCAAATTCAGTAGTAGGTGTTTCTTACCAATAAAAATGCTTTAATTGAGACTGTGAAGTGTGCTAATATAAGTAAATAAGATTGTTAGGCCTTGCTCAAAGACCACGTAGTTAGTGCGGTGCGGACCAACAAAATGAAATTTTTGGTCCGGGACCCCTCCCTGTGAGGAAGGAAGGCACTTATAAAATGTAGATTACACAAGAAAAAGAGGTTCAACATCATCTTTTTCCTACATAGATAAAATTGTTTCCGTTTCGAATTTCACAAACATGAAACATGAATTGGCCAAGGTTATGCTTTTTGTTCTTTCACGGTAAACTTTGATAAACCTCGCAAAAGGAATAATGAATCAAATCGTTTGGGTAAGAATAAGCTCTTGCTTTTTTTCCAACACCAGATCCTATGTGATTAACATGCAATCCATGATGAAAGACGCGTACGGCAGCCAAACCCAAAATATGCAATGGGTGTCATTGCCAAGTTTTGACAAGCAAGTATGCACATGATGAAATCACCCTCCTCCTCCATCTTCATTGTAATCAGGCAGAACTGATTGCTCAAACTCTGCGTCCATGATAACTCCATCCATAATATGAACAAGGATTTTACTCCTCTGCTGCAAATCAACATTATTGTTCGATCGGATTCTATTAACCACTAACACTCCATCTGCGCCCCTTGATATGTACAGGGTAAATCCAGCCAAGGAATCAAAATCGACCTCCTGACCATATGGAACATTAACTGAATTTATCATCCTTGGCACAGCTGAAAATCCTAAAACTCGAGTTAGTATTGCATATGTATCATTGGCCTTGTCTCCCACTAAACTATCATTCAAATGCAACCTTAAGTCACGTTCAAATGCTTTTTCCGAAGGCAAAAATACAGTAAATGGTAGATCTTCAGGTAGCATTTCAATTACCATTTCTCCAAATTTCCCTATTTTCTCATATCTCCCAACTGCTCTTCTGTTCTCGGGCCTAAACGAGGCTATGGTTACATCTGGTAATCTAAAAACTGAGACAAACAAAACTAAAGCACAAGAAACACAGAGAATTGCACATACAAATGCCACTTGATTCTTCGGAAACTGACCCCTTCTCGCTTTCATGTTCTCACCAGTATGACGATCCCTTCAGCCTTAAAATCTATAATCAACTTTTACTACAGCAATCGGTGTACTCTACTCCCAAAAAAATAAGGGAAGATCAATCCTTAAAATCTAAGGTCAAAGAGTAGCTATATGCTACGTAGCTACCTTTCAACACAGGATGCTTGTTTCAGTCACAAAAAAAGAAGAAAAAAAAAGGGCTTTTCAGCTTCTTTTGCTTCTTTGAACCAACATATCTAGCTTTGCAACGTATCCCTTAAGAAGAAGCTGAAATCAAGGCATTATATACATGTCAGACTCGGACATGCGCAATCTACAACAGATATAATAGTTCTTGAACAAAGAAGCATCTTACTTAGATGTTTCCTTGCGAAGTTCAATTTAAATATTCACTAATTTTGAATTCCAGCATGCATAAAATAGAAATAAAAGAGATCAATAAGTCCATTTAAAAGACTTAAGTAAACAATCACATTTCTGCGACCACAAAAGAGGGGAAATAAACTAGAAACAAGACGATAATTCAAATCAGGGAACAGATTGAATCATACTGATGAAACCTTAACCTGAAAATCCCCCCTAAACATACATTCAAGGATACCAGTTTAACACATGCTCTTAAATTTCAGTAAGATAGAGATAAAAAAAAGCCCAAAATTTTCGCCGTAGAGATGATAGATATCTAAAGGATTGCAAGCTTACCTGTTAATGGGAAAGTTAGGAGATCCACATCCTGACATCAAATCTTGCCCGCCGGCTATTGAGGAAACTCCAACTTAGTTTGTGGAATCGGATTCTGATATATCTAAAAGCTTCCGATGGCGAAACTCACCCCAGTTCCCAGTTCCCAGTCACCCTCGCTCCCTCGCTTGACTTTGGCTATAGGAGTTATTCCCCCGTCACTCAAGCTACCCCCATTTAGTTTCACACTTCCCCAAGCTACCGACCACGCGCTTCCCATGCACTTCCCCTGATTACCTTCTTTTAAAGCTAGAGAGATTTCTTTTAAAATTAATCTCATGAATATTACCAGTGTATCGACATTCATCGTTAGACATATAACACATAATTCGAATTTGTTGAAACTCAAATTTTATATATGTGTCATATATTCAATCGTGATAGTATATACACGATTAGTGTATATTTGCTCTTCTTTTAAATGATTGTTTTTTGGAGTATCTTTTTTAATAAATTTTATATAAATTATCAATATATATACTATGATGCTTGAATTAATGATACATGAACAAATTTTAAATTTTAAATTCAAGTTTTGCACGTATATTATATATATCTAATGGTGATAGTGTATATAAGATTAATCCTATCTTTTTTATAGAAGTTTTTTCCAATAATTGTTTTATAAGGAGCGTGTAGGTGAAATTAAAGTGTAAAAAATTCTTTAAAAATAATTCATCCAAATATTATCCACCAATTAATTGACCTAGAAAAACAAATCCAGATTTCTTTGGATAATAGATTATTTGAGATAATTTTGTGAAAAAAATACTGTAACACTTTTTTGATGTGATATATGTAATATAAAAAAAGAAAAAATGTGTTAATGATGCAAACACGTCAATGTGTAAATAAGGTGTAAATAATGTGTAATCCAAACAAACACAGTAGTATTTCTTTGGAATGCTACCTTAAAAGTCAAAAGTTTTTTGATGGCTTCCAAACTTCCCACTCTTTTGGCTTGATATTTCATTAAACATATTCTTAAATAAAAACAGAACATAAACATATCTGCATAAACATATCTGGTGCATAACATCCTTTTAGAAACAAATAATTATAGCTATGTTTGATTGGACGTTTTCATTGTTGTGTGAGAAAAAAAATGATTAATGAGGTTTAAAAACAATATAATAAAAAAATTAAAATTAGTGCATAATATAAAAATTTTGATATAGTATTAAAGTTATGGGTGAAGTAAATTCCAACTTAAACTAGCTCTGACGCAAATAATAATATCAAATTAAACATTTTATATGTTTAACACTTATACATGTTCGAAATAAACTAGATTATATAAAATAATGAGCAAATTATCCCAGTAGCCACTAAACTTTTGCCATCGTCAAGTTTTGGGCACTCAACTATTAAAAGTCTGGTTTTGGCCATCAAACTATATAAAAGGTAGACTCGAGCCCATTCTGTTAGATTTAGTCGTTAACTTCGCAGAGGTGTCTGTCCGCGCGATTTCCAATACAAAATATAGGGTCAATTTAGGAAGTCGAAAATATCACTTGCACCTCTTCTTCCTCTTCCATGCATCTGTTCTTCTTCTTCCTTGCCTAAACCCAAACATCAAACAATTGACAATTAAAGAAAAACGCAACAACGAAGAATTTTGGGGAATTGAGCGACAGCAGAACGGGTTGACAAACAAGATCTTCATTTCCTGGAACGATGGAGTGGCCCAAGTGGGTGATTAGACCAAGGGGCCAGCATTTTGATCCATCTGATGCATACGGTAAAGTTTTAAAATCCCTAAGTTTATTTAGTTATCCACATCCCAGAATAGATTGTGTGTTTCATGTATGTATGGGCTACATTTTATCGTTGTTTTGGCTTTTTGCAATAAAGCATAGAGATTTCATAGTACACTGATTAAAGTATTCTTAATGCTGGAAAAAGGGGTTAATAAATAATTCATTCATTGAATTTGGGTTTACTAGTTTTGACTAAAATTTTAATTTTTTTAACTAATCGCATGTCATGCAGTGCCAGGTTCTTCTCTGTTCACCATACGAATGTATCATGGGGGTAAATTCAATTGGCAAAATTACAGATACATTGATGGGCATGTAGATTATGTTGATTTATGTGATGCGGAAACAATGTCTGTGCATGAAATAAACTACATGGTGGATAAATTAGGGCATTATGGATGTATGGTGTATTACTATGTTGAGCCTGGAAAAGATTTTCGAAATGGGTTGAAGGAATTATCTACTGATAAAGCCATTATCAGTTTTTGCAATTGGGCTTATAAGCATAAAATCATGGAGGTGTACTGTGACCACCAGTCAAAGAATGAAATCAAGATGATGGCCACAAAGTCCCTTCCTTCTGATCTACAGCTGAGTAAAAAAGCCGCAGTCACCATCGAGGAACTTGACGAAAATGGAAATGTTATTAGGGAACCTGGATTTGAACTAGTGCCATTTACAGGATCAATTGGCAAGATAGATGTTGGGAACTCTTCTAAAGAGAATGCCTTGAATAATGGGGATGATGGGGATGCAAATGATAGAGGAAATATAGATGGCCAAGTGGAGACTGATATTGATTCGGATGGAGACTGTGATCGCTTTAGTGCTGATAGAGATTTCTGTAGGGATGAAGAAATGTTAGAAGAATTGATTGTTGAGGGGCTAAAATCTGGTGTGGATTCTTCAAATACAGAGCAACCTAGATCTTCACAACATCCCAATTCTAATGATGATTGTAATAATGCTGCACAACAGCAAGAATCAGTTGTAGATGAGCTAGGCAGACAACAACAAACAGCTGGGATGTATCCATGGTCACAACAATCAGGACTTGAAACTGAATTTGAACATCAGCAGCAGCCTGAGACAAATGAAAAACAACCCACGGATGTGGGAACTGGAAACCAACAGTCGCAGAGGAAGAAGCAAGTTAGAAGGAGAAGAAATAACAATAGAACATCAGGAGAAGAGGCAGCTCCTCATTTAG